CCGGAAGCAGCGCGGCGGCGGAGCCATGGCGGCGGCGGCGGCGGCCTCGGCCACGGCCCGTGCCCGCGGAGCCGGCCCGGCGTGGCGGCTGCGCCTGCTGTGCCAGCGCTACCAGGAGTACGTGAGGCGGCACCCGGCCGCCACGGCCCAGCTGGAGGGCACCGTGCGGGGGCTCTCCTACCTGCTGCCAGGTGCGGGAGCGGGGCGAGGGGCGGGCCGGGATCTGGGCCGAGGGGTACGGACACCGGGGTGCAGCGGGGCGCGGGACTTCCCCGCCGCCGGGTGCTCGCTGATATTCGCTGTCTTCCCTCCGCAGGTCGCTTCTCGGACTCGCACGCTCTCTCGGAGCTGGGTAGGTGGGCAGCGGGGACCGTGCTGTGCCCTTGCGCGGGTGAATGCGGGTCCGCTCCCGGGCCCTGCTTTTCTCCTTGGCTGGCTGCATCCTCTGGCAGCCCATGGGAGGAGTCTACACGTCTTGCTGCCCTCCTTCCCTCGTCCCCTGCCTGGGACAGAGGCAGCAGTGCCGGTTTGGCTTGCTTTCTGTGCATCCATTCTCCGGTGTTCTCTTCCTTTTCCAGTGTATTCTGCCTCCAACCTTTTAGTGCTGTTAAATGACTGGATTCTCCGAAAGGACCTGCAGCAAAGCCTGCCCGTGGTAAGGCTGGAGTGTGTGGGAGGAGGATTTGGGACACATGCTTCTTCCTTACAGGAGCTTTCAGGGAGTGTCTGTAGAAACTTGGTAGATTTCCTGTGGCCTCTCTTTGTGGTCAGGTATGGAGAGGCCAGAGGCAACCTCTGAATAGCAGCCTTGCCCTATAGCTCCTGTCTTGGAGGAGTGGCTAGAGCACTCCCTGGACTACAGAAATCAGGCCCTGACTTGCACCAAAAACTCCACTGGCTTTTTTGAGAAGCTCAGAACTCGAGCTAGGCAGAGGCGTTGCTGAATAACTGTTGGTGTTTCCAGAGCAGTGGCTCTGGAGCACTGAAACTCTGATTCTGTCCCTCAGACTCTTTCTTTGCATATGCCATTGAGCAAAACAAACATAAGCACCTTGCTTCTATATCTTGCTTGCATGATCCCCAGGCTGGTTCCCAGCACTTGTTAGACCCTTTGGGGAATGGCGAGGAGAGTGGTTTTTTCCAGACAAGCCTCTTCTGTTAGAAGCCTGCACAGTGTGTGAGTTCAGTGTAGGCAGCTCTGGCTGGTGCATCGGGTGTGTAACAAACAGATGCAGAAGACTTCCCTGGTTGCTGAGGTCAAAGAGAATTTCAGCTGCATTGTCTTTATTGATGCTTTTTAATGGGTTAAAGCCTGTGGTTGACAGCAGCAGCGGGTTCCCATGTGGAGAGCAGGGACCTAGACTGGAAGAGCACCCACTGTCTCAGGGTTCACACCTGGAATCTAGATGCTGTATTCAGAAGGCATTCACTCTGGTGTGCCTGTGGAGTCTGGGTCCCCTTCCCTCTACTCCAAGCATACTATCTCACCAGCTCTGAGCCCAGAGAGGAAGTTTGCTGTGTGTCTCAACTCTGGGACGAGGTGGAGGGGAGAGTTTTGCCGTGGAGCTCAGGCACAGTGCCACAACCCAGCAGGCTTTCCTGCTGTGTTTGTTGGGGTAGAAGGCAATTCAAGATACAGCTGTGATGTTCTCCCTGTTTCTTGAGTGGCAGCCCTGTGTGATACTGTGATGTCTCAGTCTGCCCCTGCTTGGAGCTAGATAAGTGGTCTTGTGCATAGGCTCCGGCCGCAGTGCAGACACTGCTTTTTGTTTCTGAGGCTGTGACTTCCAGGGCCATCTGGTGCTTATTTCTGAGGGTCCCACCAGACTGGGCTGTGTGTGTGCCCTCTTTAACTCCAGAGCAGAACCTCTGTCTTATCACCCTCCTCCTCTCTGTGTTTTGCAGTCACTGCCCCAGCAGAAGCTGCTGACCTGGCTGAGTGTGCTAGAATGCGTGGAGGTCTTTGCAGAGATGGGGACAGCCAGGGTGTGGGGGGAGATGGGCCGGTGGACCATCATTGTCCTCATCCAGCTGGCTAAGTAAGTGCTGTGGGGGGGAAGGAGCAATGTGCGCTCAGAAAGGGGGCCTGGAGGGCACTCAGTAGTACCCCAGGAGAAAGACCAAACAGGACTGAGCTGTTAGTCCCTGAGGCTGGGGGAATTTGGAGCCCCACGGGGTACTGGATACTGTGCCACAGAAGGGAATGTTTACACCTCTCACCTTGCCAGTTGCTCTGAGCAGACCTGAGTGTTTCCCTCTTCTGTGGAAGCCACCTTTCCAAGTGCAACAGGAAAGGTGGCTGCATAGTTTGGTACTGAAGGCTTCCACATTGTTCACAGAGCCATCCTTCGTCTCCTGCTCCTGCTGTGGTACAAAGCTGGCATCCAGATGTCTCCTCCCATCGTGCCACTGAACAGGGAGCAGCAGCAGCCTCTCCACCCTCAAGGTGATCCCATGGTGTTGTCATCATTGGCTTAGTGCCTTGCTGGGCCACATGTCTTGTCCTGCTGGAATTACTTATCAGATCAGTGGCTTGTGCAGCAAGCTGTAAGGTTTCAGTACTCAAGGCTGAGCTTTGTTGAACTTTCCACCCTTTGCAGAGAACAAGTTAGCTTAGTGGCAGGGTTGTCTTACAGTCTGGAAGCAGGGGATGGAGAAGGCTAAGCCAGGAACTGCTGGCTGAACTGGGAGTCAGGCTGCATGTTCCCTGGTCTGACAATGAGGAAAGAGGTCCTAGGCCTGGGCAGTGTCAGGCAGATTTACCTTTTCACTCTCTGCCTAGTGTTAGCCCCTGCAGGATGGTCCAGTGTGCAGTAGATCAGCTTTTCAGTCTGCTCTTCTTGGTGGCAGTGTAGGGGAGGGTGCTGCCAGCTCTGGGGTGAAGCGTATTGCTTTGAAGCCTGACTCCTGTGGCTGATTTCTTCTACAGACACAGAAGACAGCTCTTCAGGGAAGGATCAGACCTATGTTGGCAGGCGTTCCAGCCGTGTTGTGCGCTCTCTCCAGAGCAGTAAGTAACTGTTTTCAGCCTGAGCTGTTTCTGCTCTGTGCCCCTTATGTTTGACGTGGGTGTGAGCATATCTTGCCAGTGTGGGTGGGTGTCAAAGCAACGGGCATTCAGATGCGTGCTGCAAAGCTGGCACTTAAATTGTATTTTCCCAAGTGATCTGTGCAACAGAGACAGCTCTTCATTAGGATTATGCTTTGAGGAGCACAGATCTTACAGGTAACTCTCCCTGCTCTGTCCCCTTTGGAGGCAAGCTTTGATGGTCAGCCACAACTGGTCAGCCACAGCAGTTGCTATGTCTGCAGCTCTTCAAGCTTTCCTGTTTCACATCTTCACAGTGCAGAAAGCAGTGAGGTGGTAGTGCAGGGAAGCATGGTAGGAAGGTGTCCTGGTTTTTGTTGAGATAGAGTTAGTTTTCTTCCTAGTAACTAATAGAGTGCTGAGTTTTGGGGTTAATATGAAATAATGTTGATAACATACTGATGTTGTAGGTTTTTGTGAAGTAGTGGTTACTCTAAGCCAAGGACTTTTCAGTTTCCCAGGCTCTGCTAGTGAGGAGGTGCACAAGAAGCTGGGAGGGAACATGGTCAGGACGTGTGACCTGAAATGGCCAAAGGGACATAGAATGTCATGCCCAGTATATAAACTGGGGGGAGTTGGCTGTGAGGGGCAGTCGCTGGTTGGGGATGGGATGGGCATCGGTCAGAGAGTGGTGAGCAGTTGGATTGTACGTCACTTGTGTTCCTTGGCTTTTGTTATCTTCCTTTTTATTGTTGTTGTTATTATTATTTTACTTTATTTCAACTATTAAACTGTGATCTCAACCCATGAGCTTTACCTTGTTCTGGTTCTTCTCCCCATTCTACTGGTTGAGGGAGGAAACGGTAGTGCTCCAAGGCTGGGGGAGTGAGCTAGCAGTTGTGTGATACTTAGTTTCCAGCTGGGACAAAACTTTTATTTGTGTTAGTGGCCAAATCTGCTTGTTTCAGCCCCATCCCTGCAGTCCCGACACTGGGGGTCCCCCCAGCAGAGGGAGGAGTCACAGAGCAGAAGGGCGGAGGAGATGAACCAGCCACCCACGCCTCTGGGTCTCCAAGAAACCATCGCAGAATCCCTCTACATTACCCGCCCTCTGCTCCACCGTATCCTGCCCTGGCTGTGTGCAAGGTACCGCCGTGTGCGGTGCCGGCAGAGGGTGCTGCAGGCTTGGCCCTAGTGCAGGGCTTGCCCAGGCTTCACTCCGTGCTCTGCTTGGGTAAGGGCCTCGGGACTCCTCCCTTGTCTTGCACTTTGGCTGGCCTCAGTCGCTGGAGTTGTGGGTACAAGTCCTCCAGCCCCTTCTCCGGGAACCCCCCAGACTGTCTTAGGGTGTATTCTCCTGCACTTGGCAGAGCTTTGTGGGTAACTGGGGGATTGCTTGTCTATGTGCCACTTGTTAGGCATCTCTCATCTTTCCATTCCTTGACTGTGTGTTCCTAGTATTGAGTTTAGGAGTGTGGGGCCAGAGATCATGGAAGCCCTGGCTCCTCTCAGCAGTCCTGGACATCTCAAGGTCAGTCTGATGAAGAGTCTTTGTTCGTGCTTGAGCATCACACTTCCCCATTTCCCAATTGTGGGCAGGCCCTACTGTGAGAAATACACAGAAGGGCTGGTCTTTAGCTTGGAGATTGACACATTTACCTATCTTTGCAACACTTACCGTGCTTTCTGTTCTGAGCTGGTGCAGTGTGCTCTGCACTGAGAGCGGAGGGCTTTAGAAACACAGTTTCTTATCCCGGCTGGCTGCTGCTACTGTGAGTTAGCTCTCTGCCCTCCTCTTTCCAGTCTGAGCTTGCTGAGTGATCTGAAAGACCTGAACAGGCGAGAGCGAGCGGAGCTGAGGCGACGAACCATCCTACTGCTGTACTACCTGCTGAGATCTCCTTTCTATGACCGATACTCAGAGTAAGGGGCCCCTGCTGGGCTTTTGTTGAAAATTTCCTTTTTAACTGAAATAGCATCAGGGGACTGGGTGAGTAGTTCTGAAGAGGTCTGGGTGCCTCTGACCAGGTTAATCCGAGCCCTTGCGTAACACTGCCCTTGCTGTTCATGCATTCAATAGCTGGGGCAGGAGGTGTCCAGCTGGACTTGTTCATATTCTCTCCCTTCTTAGGGGCAGGATCCTTCTCCTTCTGCGCTTATTGGCTGATTACGTGCCTGGAGTTGGCTTCGTCACACGTAAGTGGGTCCAGTCCCATTGTTATATTCCCATTTCTGTTGGTGAAGAAAAATGAGGGCAGTTGGGAACATTTGCCAGTTGGTTTCCAATCCAGGGAAGGAATAGCAAAGTCTCTAGAGTGGTTAGCACTAGTGTATCCTATGTTGATGCTTGAGTCATTTTGAACGGGAAAATGAAAGGATGAATTGCTTCCTGGTTTGATGACAGTAGTAAACCTCTGTGTGCCCTGAGGCTGCAGAGCTTGGTCTCTACCACATAGGCCTCTTCTCCTGTGCTTCCTTTCTGCCCCTCAGCTGGTTTACCAGGGCCCTGATTTGCAGCCCTGTTTCTGAACTGTTTTCCTTGGTCCCTAGTCTGCAGGACAGACACAATGGGTAAATGAGTGCTTAGAAGTATTGACCCAGTCAGGAACTGATTGTAAATCAAAGGGCAGAACCAGGTCTGTGTTATAATCCTTCCCCATAGGATCTCTTTATTGTGGGCCAGAACTTCATTACTCCTCTTCCCTGATGATATGAATCTTTGTGGAGTGATTCATGGCAGTGATGTGACATTACATCAGCCTGTCATCATGGGATTGCCCTTTCTTTGGGGAGATCACAAAGCTGGCTAGCTCAGGAGCCGCTTCCTCCAGTTAGTGATTTCAGACAGGCTTTGGAGCCTGCTTAAGCCATGTGCTACATAAGCATTTTCATTTTACAGCAGATGCTTCTGTGTTTGCACCTGCTCTCTATTGCTGAGTTGTCTTCCCTCTTCCCTGTGTCACAGCAGTGCCCTCCTGACTCTCTCCATGTGGGTTTTCCCCGTGCACATTGTAGACTGCCTCCCCATTCCCACTGGAGCTTGGATATGTCAGCTCTGAGGGAGTGACTGGTGTCCCACACCATGGCCATGCTGACCATGTTTCACATCCCGCTTGCTCCTGGCACCACATCGCAATGTTGCCTTCCATCTTGGCAAAAGTAACTAACTGTTCTGTTCTGTGGAAGCGGAGATTTGGGATTGTTGGGTATCATAATGAGAAGGGGGGATACAACCCGTAGACACACAGCTTCAAATTTTTGCCTTTCTACATGTGTGATCCCTCTGTTCTCTTTTTTCAGGGCCACTGATGGATTACTTGCCTGCTTGGCAGAAAATCTATTTCTATAACTGGGGCTGATGAGAAGATGATTATTCTCTGCTAAGATCATGGCTGGACCTTTCTAAGGAGGGCAAGCAGGCTGGGGGGAGGGATGTTGATAATGTCTAATTCTCAGTTAAGCCATCAATGAGAAGCTCCTGTTCTGCAGGGTGGGGAGAGGGGGTGTATGTGATTTTTTTTTTAACGGATCTAGCTGTGAATGATGGACACTACGTGTGTGCAGAGACTCTGGCCACCTATTTCTTGGACTGTTCTGTGGCTGCAGTGATGGTGATGGGGCAATCTCTTTTTTTAAGCACTTGTTTTTTCTCTTTTTGTACAGCTGTGCTATAATAAAGCCAGGCAGCATAGTGGGTTTTTGGAGAGCATTGTCTCACGTGTCAAGGTGCTGTGGTTGAACCTGCAACCTGCTTCTGTTGGCTGTGCTTGGCCGATCTGCTTGGAGCAGACTTGTCTGTCAAATAAACTGACCAATGGGAGAGAACTGAGCTGAAGGGCCTCTCCCTCTTTGCATGGGATCTCCTCATGTCTGGTTGCCAGCAGGTCTGTCTCCATCAGAAAGAGCAGATTTTGCAGTTGTCTACCCTGGGATATAGTCCCTTAGAAGCCTTTTGCTCTGGTCTTTGTCAGTCAGGGCCCCACATGTTGCTCAGCTGGTGACTGTAGCCTCCGTAACTCCTGATGCCTGGTTCAGTCCCCAGATTCCTGGGGTTCCCCTGGTGGTACACAGAGCTGCAGTGTGCAGGCTGCTTTCCTGGCACCTAATATATGCTAGAAGCTTTTGCAGAATGGCTGCCAGCCAGTGCTCAGGGGCTTGGCCGAGGGCAGAGAAGTGATTAATGCAGCAAATACTGCTGTTCCATATTAATAAAGGGCCCAAGAGAGGCCTGTATCTCCTCTGCTAACTGGGGGACAATTGAGGCACCAGCCTGTGCAGTGAGCTACTGTGGAGACTCCCTAGGCAGGGAAAAAGGGGTAGTCAGCTGGTGGCACTGGACTGCCCCACAGACAGCTCCCTGTGCAGTGCTTGGAAGCTGGAAATTGCCAGGTGTGTGTGTGCCCCAAGTGGGTGTCAGGAGCATTTCTACCTGAACCATGCCTGAGGGATTCTGAGGCTGCAGGGATCACAGCCTTGTTGCCTCAGCACCCGAAATTGGGGATGTAGTTTCACATGCACATCCCTAATGGGCCACCGCAGTTGGGGACCACAGGACTTTGCCAGTCTATGTGGGGGGGTGGGACTGTGTTGCCACCTCAGCTGACAAGGCCCTGCAACGTGGCAACGGTAGCATGGAAAAGCCATGAGCAAGGGACTGTGCTCCCTTTGCTGGGGATTTTAGCAGAGGAAGATGCTGAAGACTGCAAAGTCTGTGAAGTGTTGGTGGGGGTCACTCCTGGGGAGGGACAAGGGGATACTGAGATGAGATGCAAGAGTCTGTTTTTGGAGTGGTTGAGAGGGAGGCAAAGGCAGGTGCTAAGGGACAGGAACAGCCTTGGAGCTGTGGCTGCACAGAGAGACATGCACCAGCACAGGGAGGAATCTGAGCAGGTGGTGGGGCCCAGGCAGGACTAGGCAAAGGCAGCCCAGGACCTGAAGTTGAGGAGGTAGGAAGGGGTAGCAGGAGCACCTGGGAGGGACTGTGTCCCCTGCCCCCCACCATGGGAGTCCTGGGCAACTGGGGTGGCTCCTCTGTGACCTCACTGCAGAACTGGTGGAACCTCTCAGTGTGCACCATGCTGCACTGGCTTCTGCTGCTCGCCCTGCTGCTGGGGTCTGCCCTCCCACAGCCTGTGCACCAGAGGTGATGGCATTTCCCTTCTCCTACTCCTTCAAGCCCTGGTACCTGCAGAGGTACCCCAGGGCTCCTGATTGTGGGTCTGACACTTGTGGCACTAAGAGCTTTAGAGCTGACCAGGCTGGGTGGAAGAGAAGCAGCACATGGGAACTCTTGTGCCAGCCTGTGTAAGTGCTGTAGGACCTCAGCTCACTCCTGCCCCTGCGTTTTCCTCTGTAGGGTCAGCTACTCGGTCCCTGAGGACTTCTCTGCTCCCTTGGAGCTTCCGCAGAAGCACTTTGGCTTGGTGGATGGTACAGTGCTCTCTTTGTCCCTCTGAACCTCCTTTCCATGCACTCACCCCTCCAGGTGGGCAGTTGTCCCTAATCCCAGGTGCAGCTGGGCCAGCAGCTCTGCTCTGCCCACAGATTACGGCATCAAACCCAAGCAGCCACGCTTCCCAACCCGGGCGGCCCGGGAGCGGCCGGCGGTGCTGCGCAGAGCTGGCAAAAGCAAGCGCGATGGTCTTGACTTGCTGGAGTACTACGATGATGCCCAGCTGTGAGCCAGTGTGTCCCCGTGCCCACCACAGCCCCACAGGTGAGGGCTGGAGCAATAACCCCCAGAGGTCCCTCCTGATCATCATACGATCTCTGGCCTCCAGGGATTGCAGCCAGGGCTCTTGGACCAAACCTGAGAAGCTCCAGCTTCTTTTGGGGTCCCAAGGGAAGGAATGAGCCAGGGCCCAAACCCACTGAAGAGGGACACAAACGGCACAGTAGCTCCGTTCCATGAACCATCATATTTAATAGTTGTTGCCACCACAGCAGATCCAGCTGAAGCACAGAGACCGCTTGCTGCAGGGACTGGGAGAGCTCTGCTACCTCCCTGGTGCTTTGCACAGCTCCCTGCAGGCTTTAGCCCTTCCCTGCCCTGCTTTGGGCAGGCACCCAGCTCTGTGCAGGGGCTGAGCCCCACTGCCCTGGGGTGCTCCAGCCCTGCCCCTGCCTCTGTCACCTGCAGCTGGGGGAAGAGGGGAAAAGGGCAGAGAAAGGCTTCCCTCCCGAGGGTATAGTTACTGCAGGGAGGTATGGGGGCATTTTTCTCTCTCCCCAGGGCATGGATACAAGAAGGAAGGGATGGGGACGGAGGCAGGAGAAAGCTGTCTCATCTCATTCTGGCTCTGGCAGAGGAGATTCTGGGGCTCCCTCTGCCATCCCTGCCCAGCAGCCATGTCCCCAGGGCCCAGCAGGGAGGTGATCCCTTCTCCCAGCAGGAGCCAATATGTGGGTCTTGTTTTCTGTAGCTGCTGTGTCATCATACTGCAAGAGATTGACTCTGCCACTGCAATTAAAAGTCACCCCAGATGGATGTGATGGGAAGCTGTGCCATGGTCACAAGGAGGAGATGCTGTCACCCCAGCCTGCAGCTGGAAAGGGCAGGAGCATGCTACTGCCCCCCCAACTGCTCACAAGCAGGGCACCCAGCAGGTGCTTCTCCAATAGAATAAACTAAGAGTATTTTGTACAATAAACACAATTTGTCCAGCCCTCCCCCCTCCCATCCCCCCAGCCCGAGGAAGGGGAGTCACAAAAAGAGGCGGTGCTCCGTGCCCCGGGGAGCCCTGCCCGGGCCGCTCCTCCTCCAGGCTCAAAGCAGCTCTTGTCCATGCACGACACGGGGAAGGGGCGAGACTGCAGCCCTGGCTGTGCAGGAGGTGCCTGTGCCAGCCCCTACTCCAGGTAGATGTCCTCCGTGGGGCACGTGTACTCCACATACTCCTTGTAGAATTGCTGAAAAGCCCTCCTGCAACAACAGCACCAGGCAAAGCTGAGCAGCATCCTCCCCACAAGGCAATTACAGATACCCACTTCCATCCTCATCCTAACACCCTACCCTGTGCAGATTGACCCTCCAGCCCCCTGGTCCCTGGCCCCTCCTGCATTCACCCCCAGAGCTGCCATCAGAGCTGCAGGGTCTCCATCCTTGCTCTGATTCCCTGCACAGTGCATGACTTTAAGACATCTGCCTGTAAAGCCCTGCACTGGGACTTGTTCCAGTGCTGTCAGGAATATGATGCCCATAGCCCTGTCAATCCTGGCTCTCACCCCAAGCCTCTCATTCAAAAGAAGAGGTGCCAGCCAGGTCCAAGCCCCACGCATATGGGGAGATGGAATTCAGCCTGGCTGCCTTGTTCCTCCTGCCCTTTGTGAAATAGCCTTCCCTGCCCAGCCAGGACTCACCCTACAGATTCCGCCAGTGGCTTCGTGGACTCCTCCGAGACGAAGACATGACAGGCAAATCTGTGGTCAGCAGGATGCTTGGTGATGAACCCAAAATATCTGAGGGCAGAGAGAGCAGGTGTGACTGAACCAGCAGATCAGCAGGCATAGTACCCCAGCATCCCTGAGGTGTACCCACCCTTAAGACATAGGGGTTTGGAAACTGCAGCCAATCCCCCTGGTGGCCACCAGATGCCACAGCCCATGCCCAGAGCTGGGATGTAATGCCCATCCAAAGGTGCTAGGAAACCTTCTCTTTCCTTCCTAGCCCAGTCTTTGCTACTCTCAGTGAGCAGGAAGGCAGCAAAGCCTCTGCATCGCTGCTTCTTTGTTACTCACTTGTTGTTCTTTGGATGGTACCCACAAAAGGAAATGTTCTTCAGCTGGAAAAAATGGCTACACTTGTTTACCTGGGGGGGAGAAAGAGAAGAACTGTCAAAATTTCCCTCTCATGCCCCTATGGGGCAGCTGGTCTCTGGAAACGTGCACTTGGAGACTGAGGAGTGAAATTAATTGGAGCCTGATCCTGGGCTGCTGTCAGTAGCAGTTTCAGGATTGCCCCAAGCACCCGCACAAAGAGAGCTTTTCCAGGCCTGCTGGCTCCCACTCCAGCTGCCTCTACTGCCAGTAGTTCCTGTAGGGTCTCCCTAGAGGCCTTGAGTTAGACTGTACTCAGGCTAGAGTCAGTGCTGCTGTTCACCAGCATACACGGCCCTTTTTCCTTGCTAAACAGGCTCTCAGAGACACCAGCAGATAGTAGGTGAATGGACAACTTAGAACTAAAACAGGTAATTCAAGTGTAGGTATCCAAGGGGGCCCAACCAGAAATGAAAACTTATTTATACAAGTCTAAAGTGCAACTAAATTGATAGCATCCTCTAGATACAGGCAAGACTTATCTAGAAAGAGGTAGAAGCCCCAGCCCAGCTCTGTCACAGCACTCAGAGACATGAACTACTCCTATCCTACAGCTGTAGGGGAGGTTTCCCAACAGCTTGCTGCAAAGCCCTCACTTGCCTCTGCTCAGCATCTAAACCAGCTTCACTAGGCTACTTATGCAGAATGCTAATCAGCAGCCTGCCCTAGCCAGATAAAGAGATTACAGGGCAGATCTGGAGGACACCACTCAAAATAGTAGCAGAAAGGTTTAAAAGCAGCTGACAGATTACTGGGTACAGCTCAGCTTGCAGCATCCTAGCACAGCGACGTGCTTGGCAGCTGAAAGGGCATCAGCTGGCAGTACGGCCCAGAGCTGGGACCTTGTGAGGCATGGGGGACCCTGACGGTGGGCCTAAAACCCTGATGATGGTGTTTCTCACACCCTCAGATGTGGGATGGAGACCCTCAATTTTCATATGCAAACATGACCTATAGCACAGGGGCCACGACCCAGCTCAGAGCAGCCATCAGGGAAGGGATGAGACGAGCTGGGAGCAGGGCACTACCTTGCTGTGTTCCTTGGAGTCGTCAGCTTTCACAGCAATCTTGACCCCACGCACACTGATCTCCAGGACACAGCTGGAGGGTGGGTTAAAGTGCACAGTGAGGCGGCGCGTGGTGGCAATCTGAGGAAGACAGAGAGACAAAGCCCTGGGACTTGTGAGCAGTGCTGAAGGCTCACCCCTTCCCTTCCCCACTAAGGCTCTGCCCTGCTGCGACAAGGAGCAGGCGCTCCTGCTCCCGAGGATGGTGTGGGACACTACCTTCTGCATGGCCGCGCAGAGCACGTCATTGCCCTTGTGATAGGGAACCTGCACCGAGCCAAGGAACTTCACCCGAAACTGGTCCACCCAGTCACTGCTCTTGGCCAGAGCTGGAAGAGAGAGCACATGGCAGGGATCATCTCTAATGACCAGGTGTGTGGGCTGAGCTCCACCTCCCCTTTCCAACTTCCAACACCTGCATGTTTCCCTGCCCAGGGAACGCTTCCTGCAACACTAGGTACCAACACCCAGCATCACAGCAGAAGCTGCCCATCACTCCCTGCTGGGTGCCCAGCTTGGTCCTCCCCTGCTAGCCCTGCTCAACACCAGCCACTGCTCAGTGGAGAGGACGTGAACACAAGATAGGGACATGAGCAGACTGCATGCAGAGACTTGGTACCTGTTACATGGTCTGGGTCCTTGGTGACTTCAATAGCGTAGTAGGCAGGAAAAATACCCCGATCACCTGTGCGCATGTTGTAGGCCTCATACCAGTAATCTTCCGCCTGCACCTCCACCAGCAAGGGATCATCCACCTCCAGCTCCAGCTCATCCGCATGGCGAGGCACAAACCTGGGTAGAGAGGCACTAGCAGCTGGCCAGCAAACAGTGCTGGTGGCCTTCTCAAGTGCACACTGCCGGGGCACCCACCACCACCCCAGGCAGGTAGCACCCTCATAGATGTAATGAGCCACCAGCACCCAAGATGCTAAATAAAGCATTGGAGCAGATTTAGGTTCAAAAGGTGGCAGCATCCTGGCACCTAAGGCAAGGGTATCCCCTATTGCAACCTCCCATGCTGCTCCCCAGAGGTCTCAAGTGCCCCTGGAGGGCTTGCCCATTGCATGGGCAAATGTTGCTCCTTGGCAGGGCATGAGCTACAGGCACTGGTTTGTTCCCCAGGGAACGCACTGGAAACACTGGGGCTTGTGCTAGTCCCACCTTGGTGGGAAAGCAGCACCAGCTTTCCCCTGCAAGAGGCTGGGGACACTGTGCCTGCAAGCTCACCTAAAGACGGCGCGGTGAGTCTGCTCCTGCTCCTCCCCGTTGATCATGCAGGAGAACAACCCGAAGGACTCGGCACCTGCGGATGAAGGCAGAGGAGGACATCTCAGCATTGAGGGCTCAGCATTGCAGCCAGGGGAAGGACATGGGCCGGGCAGGCTGCTGAAACTCCTGCGGAATGGCTCAGCCAAAGCCACACAATGCCACAGGAGAGGGAGGTATGGCTAGAGCTGCCACATTGGTGCTCATCAGTCCCCGTGGGCAAGATGACCTCCCTGCACCACCTCACACAGTTGTGACAGCTGGTGTCACCCGCTGTGTGGGACAAGCCACACCACGAGAAGCCCTACCTGCCAGGGCATGCCACCAGCCCTGGTGCTCTCCTAGGCTTGGGGACAAGGGTAGCACACCAGGAGGCTGCTCCCTCCAAGCCACACCAGGAGCCTCCCCCTCAGCTCTCTATGGCCATACCTTGGGCAAGCCAAATAAACAGCCTGGAACACCTACCACCGCTCCAACCTAAAGCTCACAAGGCTTTTCCAAGCCCCTCTCCCCCCTGCCTCACAGACCACCAGGGACAAAGCCACAAGCCACAACAAGTAGAGCTGGGGCTCATGTCTGCTGGTGGCTTCCCACCTCCTGAGTGTGTCCTCAGCCTTGTACCAGGGATGGGCAGGGCTGCCCAGGGAGGCAGCCACCAGCCCATCTCCCCCTGGTGTCCAGAACTCACTGGAGGAGCGTGCCCGTCCACTCATGAAGACATTGAGGAACTTCTTGGAGAAGTGGATGTCCGCCTCAGGGGTGGAGTCCTCAGAGAGGCAGACTGAGTCGCGCTTTAGCGCATCCTCCTCGTATTCCTCGCCGATGGCTGACTCATAGGGTGAGGAGATGCAGTTGTCATAGACTGTGGCCGAGTCACTCTCGTCGCTGTAGCCCGAGTAGCACTGCTTGAGGCTGACCAGCTCCAGCTGCACATTCTCATCCACTACCAGTGTGTATTTGACAGAGTCGTAGGAGAGGGCACTTGTGTCTGAACTCACTGAAGCTCTCTGAAGGTTGTGCCCTGGCCGGGAGCCACCACTCCCACCACCACAAGAGGCCCTGGGCAGGTTTGTCTTGTCAGGGGAGGACATGTAGTCCAGCACCTCGTCCTCCTCACTGATGGAGGGGTTAGTTTTCCCTGCCAGGGCTGAACAGCTGGAGGTGTCAATATCAGAACTGATGGACATGCGGTTCTCACTGGACTGAGACAGGAACGGCTTGTCAGTGTCCAGGGGGTCCGAGTTCTTCTGCACAGGCGTCAGGTAGATCTCCTCTGTGGCCTCCAGCCTCACGTCTGTCTGGTAGCGGATGCGGTCCCGGTGGGCCTCGGGGCCCCTCGTCACCACCACCACGCTGGCACCGTGTGGTGGGGCCCGGCTGGTGGCCTGATGCTTCTCTGGCAGCCGGGACGAGGCAACGCAGGCTGGTGCCATCTGGGTGGCTGCTGTGCGCCGGCATGGGCTCTCCGTGGATGTACCCCGGTCTTTGGTGGAGGTTGTGCT